AACGGGGGGGGGACGGACTACCTGTAATACTTTCAACAATAAAGATAAATTTTTTAAAAATGTCAATAATGCATCATGCATTATGAGGTGTAGGAAAGTGTGGAGCTGAATGAACACAATGCTATTCCTGTGGTTGAGAGGCATAGTGAGGGAGATAGCTAAACAAATGATGAGACCATGTCTCAAACAGAACAACACAGGGGGACAAAAACAAAACATAGGCCTGATCAGAGAAGTCACAGAGGGCATCCAAGAATTGCAAACATCTGAATTAAGTTTCAAGACGAGGAGTTTGCCAAGTAGACAGAAAGGGGACAACACTCAGTGTATAGAGGACTAGTGTAGGGCACAGAGGCAAACACACACACACACACACACACACACACACACACACACACCCAAAAAAACATGGTATGTTCTAGTAACTTCAAACCGTTAGGCTGTATTTGGAGAGCACAGTACTGGTGAAAAGTGTAGCAAGGGTCAGCTCATAAAGGAAATCATGTCAGGCTAAGTAGGTCTGACTTGTGCAGCAGGTAATTGGGACGCTGATGAATTTTAAGCAGCAGAATCATTAAGATCCAATGTGTATTTTACAATGCACACTAGCAGAATCAATGAGGAATGTGAGGGGTGGGGATGCAATTGCAAGCAGAACAGCAGGTAGGTAGTATGCTGACTGCTAGCAGCCAGGTGATAAACTATAAGGGTCTAAAATTAGGGTAGTGAAAGGAAAACAGGAAAGGATTGAAAGAGATTTTGAAGGTGGGACAGGTAAGTGGCTGTTCAGGAGGAATTTAAGATGAGTTCCAGGTTTCTGGCTTTGGAGATGCAAGATGAAGTACTGCCTCTGGGGAAGTTGCCCACTCATTCCACAGCCTCTGCAACCCCTAAGACTCAGGGCAAAAGGAACCCTCACTACTGGGGGACTTCAGGAAACTCCCATAGTCACAATAAGTAGAGCTCTATTACTTGATCCTTGCACCTTGTAGAAGGGTTGGTTACTGAAACTTTAAAATGTGGGCCCATCCCTAGACTTAAAGAGCTAAGTGCTGCTAACTGGACTCAGTAACTTTCAGTCTTTCTTTAGTTGGACGCACTATTCAGAAATGACAGTTACAAGCGTCAAGGTCAAGAGTGCTAGCGACAGGCACTGCTGGTTAATTAATTGTGCAAGGGACTGGCAGGCACCTTGCACTGATAATCTTAAATGTCTATCCTGGGATGCTCACATAGATAACCAGAGACTATATATCTATATATATTTATACACACACACACACGTACATACACACAGGGGTGCGCAAAAGAGGTTTACAGTTGTGAGTACACGAAATAGAGTTAATAAAGTTATTGTAATAATCATAACCTGCATGTCTCTCTTTCCATAAAACAAGTGCAAACCTACTGTTCCCCACCCCAGTATACACATACATATATATACACACACACATATATGTGCTAGAAAAATGAAAAGATTAATTAATGA